TTTTTGCAGTTATTTATTGTCAATCAACTAGTCAATTAACTGTTGGAACATGTATTATTCATAATTGTTTATTATCAATTGGAAATCATTATCATTATTATTATTATTATGACTGGAATGGTACATGATTAACTCAAGAAGCCACACTGTCTGCAAATGAAACAAACTTTGAAGGAAATGTTTCACAAATTGAAATTTATAACATGCATGCAACCACTATTCATATATGTGAGTAATTAAGTTCTGTTAGATACAAATCTAGGGTGTTATTGTTATTTTCTTCTCATTAAACATCTAAATTCCAGTTACTGGCTTCATGGCACACTGTAGTTTTCATCAATGTCCTCAACACACACCCTGGGGATGACAGAACATTCCTACTGCTTTCATTTTAAGTGAAAATTATATCCTTCTCAAATGCCAAATCAAATGATATTTCAGCCACAACAGAGCTGGATCTGGTAATCAAACCATTTGGATGGGTCACCGTTTTCCAGGCTTAAATGCCAAATAATATCTGCAAAACTGGATCTGACTTTTGGGCAGTGACACTTTTAACCAACTGTGTTGTCACTAATTCATATTCAGATGGCTTCCCTGGGTCACAAGTTGTGCTGAGCAGCCTGGCAGAGACCAGGGACCTGACCAGTTCAAATCACAGGACCAAACTCAGCATGCATGCATGATTTAAATACATCTAAATGGCAGATGGCAAGAGAACTGGCTTGTGTCTGGCTCCAAGACAGAAGCAGTGATGTAGGGGAAGCAGAGGATGAGACTGTGTGCTAGAGTGAGAAATGGCTTGGCTTGTCTTTAAGATTACTTTTCCTCTTAAAACATTCACTTCATCTGTGTCACTCCTGCTCCCAACTTGTTATTGGAAAATAGCTCCGTGCAGGAACGTTGGAAAACCATTCGATGCCGGCACTGTCTGCATCAGTCACACGCTGACACGCACATACACACAGAAAATACATTTCATCCTCCATATCCGAAACAGCCAATAGCACTGGCAGGCATTTGCGACCCCAATCCATATTTCAATTTCCCTCCTCTCATGCAAACTAATTCAATACTTGTTGCCTTCCCTCACAAGCGATCAGCAATGTGAGAAATGAGCTTCTTCTTGTGCTGCATCTATAAAAGGCCCAATCAGAAACATTTTTGAGCAGGCCTCCGCCTATATCAATTATGTTTTACTAGGCCTGCACACAGGCAGATCCTTGGAAGTAATGTTTGAGGATGAAAAATATGTAATACAAAGCACAGATCCTTTTTCTCCACATTTTCTGTACTCAGAATCCATTTAGCCCACATTAGCTACATTTAAAACTATATTTTACATCACATACTGTCGCATAGTGCTCATATCAAGAGCTTAACTACTCATGGTTTTAAAACAGTTAAGTAAGTATTAAGCTAACAGTGAGATGTAAGTCGAATAAGTAGTTCAAATATGATTTACTCTAATTTGAGATTTGACCCTGAAAGTGGGATTCAGCTTAAAACAAATATCACATATCAGTTTTTTTTTCAACAACATTCATCAGTGCAGTTTTGTGAACTTGTAATAGTCTCTCACAAAGCCAGAGACAGAAATGCCAAAGCTGTAGGCTGTGATGCCATCGGCCAACACTTTCTGGAATCAATCCACCAACACAGCTCAGGAGACAGACTGGCCACAGTGACAACCAGCCAAGTTTTGGGGGAATTTACGTATATACGGTTAATCAGGCTCATCAGTGGGGAAAAACTCAGTTAGAGATTCTACAATGGATTTCTGACGAGTGAACCATTTCCAAACACTTTCAGCTCACCAACTTGCATTTGATATATTAACTGCTGTAGCATTTTCCACTCTGACACCACAGAAGAGACTCACATATCTTGACATCTCCCCCCTGTGGCACCATCAACAAAGAAATTTCCCAGTAGCACAGAGAGAAATAAGAAAATGAGTGTAAACAGATACAGCACATAGCTAGCTGGGTGGAGCAGAGTCAAATTGAGAAATGGTGCAGTGCAGAAGTATTTTGTTTGTTAAAATTCTCCATACTCCATATTATTGATCCTTGCATTCTGTCCATATTCACTCTTAAAGTACAAACCAACATACCCATACTCATGACTGACAACACCTAGTTAAACACAGGAGTCTGGCTGCACTTTTCCTCACAACTCTTTGCCCATGTAAAAGGAGCAGCAAGCAGGTAATAGCGACAAATATAGGGGCTTAAACAGCGACAGCTTTACGATGCCTGAGTGGCCACTATGACTCCATTCCTGTCAGATTGTATTAGCTTGGCCTCCACCGTGTGTTTCGATTGGCTCTTGGCCTATTCCCAGCAGTTACAGAAGCACCTCCCGTAAATAAACCAAATGGCTGCATCTTGTAGTGTATGAAGGGGGGGGGGGGCTCTGGGCAGCTGGGCACTTGTGTGTAAAGAACATCTGACAGAGTGGTTGAATAGTTTAATATACAGCAGCGAGCTGAATGGACACAGTTGACTAGAGGGAGAGCTCGGCACACATCAGTGTAAGAGTTTAAATTTGACTAGTGTTTAAGAAGAATACAAGCAGCCAGGCGAGGAAAGCACTGTTAAATCAAGACAAGTGGTTTCATTCCACTCCACCCACACACACACACACACACACACACACACACACACACATACACACATACACACACACACACATACACACACACACACACACACACACACACACACACACACACACACACACACACACACACACACTCCTATAAACAAAAGAAAAAGTGTGTCTGTCTGCCAGCTGCCAGGTGCAAGTCTAAGGAAAGGCCACCTGTCTAATAACCGTTTTTGATGCATACAGCTCAGCAATATGAGACTGAGCATCTGGCCTGTCCCCTCCAAACTGATCTTGTTAACAGCACGAGTATCGTTGTTCCTCATATAGAAATTATGTGGGTTCTTCACCTAAATAGGTTTTTCCTCACCAAAAAACATAATTTTGTTTTGATTAATTCAACCAATTAGGGCTTGAGATTGCAATGCAGTTTTTACCACCAACTCTCCACTGCGAGATGTCCGTTGGATGTTTTTATATGGAGCACACAGGATTTATTGCTTGTTGTCCGCCAAAAACCAGGGGTGATTTGAACTACTTTAAAACCAAGTCACTTGTTCTTTGTAAACCTAATACCCCTAGAGTAAAACACAGTGGATTTGTAAATTCTAGTAACAATTATTAAAAATGCAATGCTTGACATGCTGCAGCTAAATTAGTTTTTTTTTTATGGCTTTGAAATGGCCTTTGAAAAACAGTGGAAAATAATACATTTCCTTGCACAGATAAAAAATACTGGACTTTAGCTAAGCATGCTGAAAGAAGAAACGCTGGCAGGGCTGCTCGCACAATGAAACGACAATCAGCTAAATGTTACTTTGAATTATGAAGAGCAAAATTATATAAAAATACAGAAAAAAGTATTTCCCACTAATCATCAATATCACAATGTTGGAATAAGTGGTACATGTTACTTGCATATGGCTGCCACAAGCCTTTATATGCATTTGATTGGATTTGTATTTGTTCCTTTTTCACAGTGGAAAAAAAAAGCACATGTGTAATTAATAAAATCAACAATGGCTCTGCTCTGTGCTCACTGAGCCATGCTAAACGGTAGCATCTATAGAGCTTTATATAAGGGTCACTGAATGGTGTGCATAGCTAGTACTGTACAACCTCCCACAGTAACTCAAACTCTTCCAGCACACCTGACCCTTACACCTAGCCTTGAGGGTGGTGGGCACCCATTTCATTATTGTGGTCAGATTTTGTTTGTTCAGCTTTGACCTGGAGGTTCAGCCATTACAAACAGTGTTGTCTCTATTGTTATTATTATTGTTATTATCATAGTGGTCATCATCCATTTTGTACTGTTTGAAATTTTGCAGTATTTACAGTCTGTGATCTTTATTATTTACGGCAGATAGTGATATCACATCCTGTTTTGCACAGGACTCAGGGTAATTGTTGTTGAACTGTAGGAAACTGTGACTTAGCGATGACAGCTGTAGCAGAACAAAGTTTGCATAATGAACTCAAATCCTACTTGGAAACAGCACAAAGTCATTTTGTTTTGCAGATGGGGCTGTGACTTAATAAAACTTTCAGACCAATATGAGTCATAAACTTGTATGTCAAGAATGCATCTTTACCAGCAGCTAGGTAAAGAATGTGTTTGACAGTAAAATGAGAAAAATGTAAAGCCAGCCAACAAGTTATCTTTGAGATTCAAATATTTTCAACCATAGACTGTTTTGAATCAAACAAGACTCCCATTCAGTGCATTTCTGAACTCCCACATGCCTCCCTGCTCATGCATACAACTCCAGCACAACTGAGTAGAAAAACACTGTGGGACAAACCAACTGAATTTTTGGCATGTATTTGAGCAGGACTTATACAACCACAAACACAAATTAATAAGTAAACACTCTATTATTATTTCTACTATTCCAACAACTTCCTCCTCATTACTTTGAGAATCGTTTTTATTTGCCCTTTCAGGTGACCAGCTAATTTGTTTTGTGAAACACTGTTATATATTCTGTGGCTTATTCCACCAATTTACAGTTGACTCATTTGTGAACTGGTCATTTTAATTCTATACTTTGCTTAGACATTTCACATCTCACGACCTCATATTTTGTCAACTCATTTGTTTTCAGATTTTTTTTTAAATGCTTTCAATTGGGGCTGCAAAAAATTATTATTTTTATTCATGATTAATGATCATTTTCAGATTAGTTTCTGAATTAATCAATAAAAAGTTTTGTCAATACAATGTCAACCAAATAGTGGAAAATCCATCCATCCATCATCTATACCACTTATCATTTGAGGGTCACTGGAGGTTGGAGCTATCCCAGCTGACACTGGGCGAGGGTGGGGTACATTCAGGGCTGACATATAGAGACAAACAAGCTTTCTACAGACAATTTAGCTCTAACCTGCATCTCTTTGGACTGTGAGAGGAGGCCGCAGTACCCGGAGGAAACCCACGCAGGCATGAGGAGAACATGCAAACTCCACACAGAAAGGCCGGCAGGTTCAAACTCAGAAGCTTCTTGCTGTGAGGCGACAGCTGTGCTAACCACTGTACCACCGCGCCGCCCTATAGTGGAAAATACCTGTTACAATTTGCCCGAGTCAAAGGTGACGTCTTCAAATGTCAAGTGTCCATTTCAAAGAGTATTTTCAAATTTTCAGCATCCTCCATAAGAGAGTGATCTTTTTCAGTTTGACTGAACAACCTCTTTGATTAACCCACGCATTTTATGTTATGGCTTATTCCATTTATTCTAATTAGCCCATTTTTAGGTATCTGAAAAAACAAAGTCTTCTAATCAAACCAATTTTAGCTTTTCTCTTTTTAAAACATATGCTTCCTCACACCCTACTTTATGAAATAAAGTGTGCATATACTCTACCCAAATCCCAGTCTGTGTTTTCCCCATGAGGATTTTCTGACACAGTCTGCTATTGTTCATACCCACCAGTCTGTTTCCTAATCTACCCGCCCAAACAGCACTGTGTACTCCCATCCTCCCATGTCTCCTGTTGCAGCTGTGGTTGGAGTGAGTATGTCTTATACAGAACTGCAACAATTACTCAATTAATCAATTGGATGATAGGCAGAAAATAAGTCTGGAACACTTTTGATCATTTAAGTCCCTTATCAGTCAAAAACATCACCTGTTTTGTGGTTCCAGCTTCTTCTATGTGATGATTTGCTGCTTTTCTCTCTTTAACATCATAAATTAAATATATTTAGGTGCTTGGACCGGTTGACTGGACAAAACCAGACATTTACAGTTGAGTGTGAATGTTCTTTCTTTACATTGAAGACAGGGGAAAGGGAAGAAAATTTCTTAACATCACTTAAAAGCTTTTTCTGGAGCTTCTATTTACATCTTACAGTCTTCATCAGGGAACTTCATTTAAGGGGTTTTGTGCCTCTCTGACAGCATATAGACTTAACGATTAATCAAGAAAGCAGTCTGCAAATTAATTATAATGAAGATTATCTTCAGTTGCAGCCCTAGTCTTTTATGTGTATTATGTAATTGTGACTTAAATCAGATATTGATCCTGATGACTGAGTCACTGTTCTTTCTCTGCTTAAATAAATAACCCACTTCATCAGTCTGTCTGTGGCTTAAGTCCACTTCATGACCACTTCATTTCCAACGATGTAGCAGAGGTGACATTAGGACTTCACTCTGCATTGCAGTAGCCTTCCTGCTGGACTCCACTCTCTCTGCTCAGCTGCTGTCTGGCATGGTGCAACCTGCAGCTGTCCTGCACTGCGCATGGAGAAGCAACAGAGGGGGGAAACTATTGTGGTGGTCACTATTTGGCAGGATACTCAGGCTGAGCCGGGGGATATAGCACAACATGTCTTCTTATAGTGGGCTCGTTATTTTGCATGTCCCTGTGGAAATTTAACCACTGATCATTTTTGCCGTGACGTCCACATCCAACCAGCAGACCTCAGTAGGACACATAAAATGACAAAAAAAACAGCCGAAAAGTCGCCCTTACATCTTCGACTCCTCAAATATGAAACCTGAGCCGTTACTAACCTGCTAACATTAGCCAGCTAGCGGCTAATATTGAAGCTCTGTAAAAGTGCTGCCAGCGTTAAAGCACGCCCAAACTTTAAACGTACGTTAATACGGGAGGTATATTATAATATACAAGCAATAAATACGGGAAGAGCTAAATTTATAGCGTTAAAACTCACCTTTGTTTCGCAGTTCCACAAAAGGGATGAAGGATTTTTGACAAGAGCTGTCACAGCACTTCCGGGTGAGACTGTGACGTGTACAGACGCGTAATAAGCATTTGGCCATGCTGGGATTGTTTTGGTTTTGGACTCTGAATGTCTCACTGGAAAAACAAATAAATTTGTGACTTAAATTGCCACTCGTCTCTACCAGGACACTCCCTGTCACTGATATTCCGACTGTGGTTAGTCTATATTTGTGTAGTTTAAGATTACTTGTTCAAGAGGTGATTAAGATGGGACAATTGATCCCCAGGAGGAAAATGTAGCAGGAAATACACCAGAGAGCAGTGGTATTGGTGGTATTCAGTTCCTTTGCCAAAGTAGCAATGTTACACTATAAAAATACTCTCTACTTTATACACTAACTTTTATATTGTAAAAGTTCTCTGTTTTGTAAAAGTCCATAAAAGTATTAAAAGTATTAGTTATGTAGCAGTATGGCCCCTGTCAAAGATATAGACTATTATAAAATTGATTGATTTATTGGATTTTTATTATTTATGCAGTATTGTCTAAAAAGCTGTTGTCTATTGTCTATTGTTGTTGCTGATGGAGGTGAAGCTAAGTTTATACACAGTAAATATTAATGTACTGTCCTGATGATCATCATATATACTGTTACCATTGAATGAGGCTACCACACAGACCAAGGGGCCCAAGGGTTCAAGGATCCCTGAGGTCAGAGCCTCTGTTTGAAGTGACTGTTGCCATTTCACTTTGGAAATTCACAGAGCTCAGTTAAAAGTAGAGATCATGTTTGTTTTTTCTGATACTGATCAGAGCTTCTTAATATTGAGTATCTGCCAACCAAATCCAATCCGATATTATTACTGATGCTACATTAAAATTTTATTTTTACCAACGGTGGCAGAGAGAATGTGTTCTGGTCCACCTGCACAATGTTACTGAAAGAGACACAAAATAATCATAAATGAACGGATTATAAGACAGACAGACAGACAGACATGTAAATAATAGTGAATAATAATAACCCTTTCTGCTGTTATTGTTCCAACAAAAACAATCTTAGCAGTGTCAAACATACTGTAAGAATCCAAGAATTAACTGAGATTCAGAAGAAGAGAAATTCACAGGAGGAATTATAGAAAGTTCAAAAAAGCAGTGTCTTTACTCAAAAAGCAGGAGGTCATACACAGGTGGTCAATCCAGCACTGGCAAACAATAGCAGGCAGGAAGCAGACAAAAATCTAAAAACCAAGTAACAAAGCAAAGTAACAAACCATGAGGGTGAACGTAAGGAGCAGCAAATACAAACTGGCAGAGAGCAAAAGGAACAATGAAGTTGGACTGACAGGAAACACCGAGGGCAGGTAAGTAGGTGGGAACCAGGTGAGGGTGATCAAGGGAGCAGGAGGCACACAAGGGCAGGAACTGAAAGCACAGGAGAAGTGAGTGATATCTTTAGGCTCCTGACTTCTCAGACCTCAACAGCAGAACCCTCCACCATATCAAGACAATGTAGGGCGCTTTTCAGCAGGGCCTTTTTTTTTACACAGCATGACATTACGTGTAGATGTGTGGGTGGCTGTGTGTATATATGTGTACATGTGTATTTATGTGGGTATCCAGTACAAGTAGAACTAAAAACATATAGGTCAACTCTATGTTGTCTCATAGTGTGTATCTTTATGTTTTTAATGTTAAAACAAATGTCCCTCCTTGTCAAATAAAGACCATCTATCTATTTGGGAACTCTCAGTTTATTTTATATTAGACTAACTAATAATCAATAGTTGTGAAATTTAAGTGATCTTGATACTGAAATGTATACATTAGCTTGTATAAAATTTGATATTTCTTATAATGTGGTGAACAAAATGCAGCCAGACATCAATGTTGAAGCCACATCTAAAAGTAAAGATAAGTCTGTCTGTATTACAGCATGCAGCGCTTTCCTTTGGGTCTGGGTTATTAGTGATTTACATTATGTCTTCAATAAAAAAAATTTCTTTATCACAGGTAATCGCCTGACTTTATTTCCAGAACTCTGATCATTCTTAGCATACATTCAGGATTTTTTTTTTTTTTTTTTTTTTTTCAGGGCAAACCCTATTAAATGCAGGAACTTTGCCACATGTGTGGTCTTTGTGAATTATTGCCCTCAGGAAAGTGGGTCGTCCCAGCAGGAAATAGATTCAAGCAAGATTAGTGGGTATACAGGAGATAATGCTTCAAGCAATTAAAAAACATACTGAGAGTAATGTAAAATATAAATTAGTGTACAGTCTCTTTGTATAGATTTGCAGCTTTACTGGGCTGATGATATGACAGGAAAAGATGTGCTATAATATGATTACGATTCTGATGCCAGCATCAAAATTGGCTATGAAATAAATGGTGTGCAGCCTTGTTTATGTTGCAGATGTGTAGGCAGTGTTGCAGATATTAAGTCACCACATGTGGGTAGTTGCCCATGTAGGGTATCTTGGCAATTTCGCAGTGTTATAAGAATATCGTAATATGATTTTCCCTTTTGAAGATTTAAATCACATTTATCCAACTTCAACAAAAGCACTTGGGATGCACTATGATTTTTGCTGTGATGCTCATCCAAAAGGTTGTCTGGTGGGATATTTAGTTTAAGGCAAAGCAAATTAGAAAGATAAACAAAAAAAAATCTGGCAATTGAATAAAGGAGAGAAGAGAAAAGTTGTTATGACACCTGGATTGTTTTCCTCTCGGGAATGTTTGATCTCTTGAGGGAAACAATGCTGCAGTGGTAATATTCATACGCTCCTTTCACAGGTGGAATTTGCTCATCTGTTGTGTGAAACAGTCCACGTCCCCACAGTTTTGAATTATATACATCACGTGTTGACATTCTGTATTGCTTCTCTGCTATTGTAAATAATAAAAAATCCAAATTTCTTTTTTTTTTTTTCCTGTTTGTTGTTGTTTAATGTACAGTGCATCCCTACATGATTCATAATGTGGAATTTTCCCAGGCGGTGGGATGTTTCAGTACATGAAATTGTATTACTGTGTGACAATCCCAGCTTACTCCACAGGTCTGGCACCGTGTTCAGCCGTGGCTCAGCTCCTCAGAGTTCTATGCAATTATAAATAAATAAGCATGTGGACGGGAAGAAGACAGGGCCCTATGGGGACAAGCTGAGAGAAAATAGAGGAAGTTTAATTAAAGCTGCAAACTGCACTCCCACACACAGATACACAGAGACACACACAGTAATATAGGAAAACCAATACACTTATAAGTGTTTGTGTGTGTGTGTGTGTGTGTG